CATAAAACACTAAAGTAAAAGCCTTGACATCAAAGTAGAATAAAATAAAGGACGATGAAAAAACACACCCACCACAGATGGATTGAAGAAATATATAGCAATGGGAAGTGAGAAAAGAACCGTGAGCACGAGGTCTGATCAAAGGCTGGAAAGACGCACCTGGGGAAGAGTGTGTGCTCGAGGTTTCACGAAGTTCCTCTGCGGCCCATGCATCTGAACACTGCTTGAAGCTATTGCAAGACAAATTGACGCGACTCACGACGACCCTTGTTCTACAACAAGGGTCGACGATCGACGGCCGAGTCCCAGCGACCCGAAGGTCAAGCCGAGCAGGAGAAAAGACGTCGCGCTCGACCGTCCCCCCATTCTACAACACGGGGACGGGTGCACAGACGCCATGATCCTGGACTGCAACTGGCCTACACCAGTCGCTATCCAGGACGCAGAAGAAGAAAAAAAAAAACAGAAGAAAAGCTTACCGAGATTAGAAACGAGCCCGAGAGGAGAGGCGAGGAGCAAAAGAAATAAATCGGCGAGCGAGGGAGGTGTGTGTGGTCAAGAGTAAGAGTAAGAAGGATTTAGACTCAGACTTAGGCGCTCGCAATCAATGTGTAGTCGCCGATGATCGGCGATGATCGGCGACTACACATCGATTGCGAGCGCCTAAGTCTGAGTCTAAATCCTTCTTACTCTTGACCATACACACTTCCCTCGCTCGCCGACTTACTTCTTTTGCTCCTTGTCGCTCCTCTCGGGCTCTGTTTCAATCCTCAGTAAGTTTTTTCTCTGTTTCTTTTTGTTTTTTCTTCTGCGTCCTGGATAGCGACTGGTGTAGGCCAGTTGCAGTCCAGGATCATGGCGTCTGTGCACCCGTCCCCGTGTTGTAGAATGGGGGGACGGTCGAGCGCGACGTCTTTTCTCCTGCTCGGCTTGACCTTCGGGTCGCTGGGACTCGGCCGTCAATCGTTGACCCTTGTTGTAGAGCAAGCGTCTTCGTGAGTCGTGTCGATTTGTCTTTGCAATATAAGTTTTGAACTTTACGATTAGACCCCGCATCTCTAACTACCACTCATTCACCATACTGTAGAAGCCGCCGGCTCGTCGTTAGTCGAAAACCCTACTTCTCATCACTAGCCCAAGCCCAGTATGGGCGTTCGTGCAGATCATTCGCTATATCGGTTTAATTACTCGCCTTGACGCCTGAGCTCCTTCATCATCTGCTGAGGAGTAAGTCCTGCATTAATTCATATTTACCACAATGCACCGATGCCTAATAGTGGCGCACGTTGTCCAATAGTCCACCTTCGAGTCCGGTGTCAACGCATAGGCAGTTAAAGAGGAATGGTGTGGAGAAAAAACGCTCGTCGTCTTCGTTGTCGACACGACAGCTTACTCCGCTTGCCCCTTCCACGCGCATCCATCGTCCGTCCATCCGCGGATTGTCTCGTCCGCCCGTATCACGCTCCCATCAGCCCGTGCGATCCGCTAAGAACCTGCCACCTTCTGAGGTTGCTTGCCTGTCCGTTTCGACTGCAGGTTCCAAGCCCTCGACTTCATCGAAGTGACAGTCCCGGCAGTTGTTATCACACCCACAAGCGTCTGTTGCTCCACCTGCACCGATGCGCTCAGCCACGCTGCCGGCTTCGCCCACACCACGACACGACCTGATCGACGAGAGCCTACCGAGTCCGTTTTTGAAGCGGACGGACCGCGCAGCGTCAAGCTGCAGCTAGCTCTGCGTCTGCCTTCACGCACGTGGCGAAGAAGCCGAACAGCAATCTGCTACAGGCAAAGGCCGCTGCAAACAGCGTTGTCGGGCGACGTGGTGCGTCTACCGTCAACTTTGTGCAAACACCACCATCCCCAGACAAAGCGCCTCCTGCGCGTTCCTCGATAGCAAGCGCGCGGAAAGTGGGGGAAGAAGTGCGGAAGGCGCTGCCACGATGACGATGTTGGGATAACTCCATTGTTCTCTGATGATAGTACTCGTTCATTGACACTCATTCTATTGTTTGCACACATGTTTCTCTTATGCACATTCATGGGTACATCAGGTGGTGTAATTTATTTGCGGATTTACCGCGTCATAGTCGCTGCAGCTTGATCGGTTTGCTACTGAAAATTCAAGCAGGCGTAGCGGAGCAGGGGATCCTGGTTGAAAGAAATCCGTGATTCTCAATCTAGCACAATGTTCGAAATGCCCACGGACAACAAATGTGCACAGGGCACATCAGCGCGTAAGTATAAGCTGGTATACGACGTATAGATAAAGCAGTAAATAGAGATTTCACAGATTCCCGCTGTTAATGGACTATCTTTCGAACAAAAAATGCCAACGCCACGCCATGCAGGTTCCAAGCAGCAGGGGGGGGTAGCTTTATTTTCCGAGTCGTCTTGACCACTGCAGTAATACCCTTCACCGCGCTATTATGTACACCCATCCGGATTACGTTAACGAGAGTAGTACAGAGAGATGGGCCTCACCTTGCGATGTAAGCCAGCCTGCCGGGGCTCAATGCATATGCGCCTTTCTCAAAACACTCCAGTTCGAGGCGCAGCACGCCTCCGTCTGGATAGGTAGCACGATCCACGTCAGACCGGTGGTAGCCATGTCCGTGTCGACAGCGCAGTATATGATAGCACGGATCGAGCGCTCGATCGGGAGACCGTCCAAACCTGGATTGGACGTCGCGATGTTCACGTTTGAAAGAATAGAAAGGTCTACAAGTCGGGTAAACACTAGCGAGATGGTAAGAGATAATGGCCTCTGGGAAGTACGCACATTTGGTAACGTCGGTGTGAATGCATGTAGCTGAACTTACTCTCGAGCAGACCAAACAATACGTCGGTAGCAATGGTAGGCTCACGGGCTTCATCTAACATGACCATAGAATAGCTGGTACAAAAAGGGTCGATCAAACACCCCCGTTGTAACATACCCTCGGCCGCGTACTTGGAAACGTCGGCTCACCGACGCAGACCTAACTGAAAGGGGTGGACCCGGGCTTTTTAGGGAAGACACACGTGGTTTTTCTGTTCATGTGCTAGTTCATATCTTTACGCTTTCTGTCACAACCTCGAAAGTTCATGCCTTTACTATGTACGTCTTAACATATGACTCCATTGTACAGACCTCAGTCCTACTACACCCACGTCGATGTAGCAACTACGTGCAATGTAATACCAAATCTTTCTTGCAAGCTAGTGTGGAGAGAGCCAGTCGCGAGTCGTGGCAAGGTCGTCATTAAGATGCGGTGATTGGATGTATTTATAATTTGCCGAGATGGTGCGTACGTAGAGGTAGTGAGAGGTGAATTTACTTGGAGTCCATTGGATTCCACAGTACACCACGGCTATAGTGAACGTCCTCGAGCTCAACAGACATCGAGCTCGTATTGGTTGCCGGACGCCATCGGTGCGTCTGGCCATCAGGGCCGTAGAAGACGCGACGGGCCTGCGACGTTCGATGAGAGGGAAACGTTCGCGAGCGGAGAACAAACTTACTGGGATGCTCGGATAGGGCCGGATGAGGTCTGCCATGGGTAGAGCATTCTAAGGAGAGGAGACGGGCCGTGTGCATCGTATAGCAACGTCGAGTAACAGCGGCTACCTTTCCCATGATCAGGCGCCCTAATCTACCGTTGGAGGCTCACTCGAGCTTGGCGACGCGATCCCCTTTATTTGCACGAATGGCTCGCCAGAGAGTCGTAACGCTCGAGCCATTCGCGGTAACGGTTGTCCGGACGTCGCGTCACTATTGAACACGGGAAACACTGCCTTTCAGATCTATGACCATTCATTGACAAAAGGGAACAAGTTTCTGGTAGAATCCGGTACACTATCACGCGGGTTCAAATGCGCTAGCGGCAAAAGTAAGTCTTGCTTTGTTTACAGAGAAACAGAATTACTTTCCTGACACTCCAGCCGAAAGATCAGGCATTCGCAGAGCGCTTCAAACACGCACAGCTCGCCCTCAGGCTTGGCTTTAACGCCCTCAAGATGCACATTACGCAGCCGCGAGAATGCAGTGTGCGGCGGGTGCAATTTGGCTGTCGGTTGGTGGGTGTCGGTAGAGGGTGGTGGGCGTCGGTGAGGATGGTCAACGTGGCGCGGATGAACAACGATGGTTAAAAGGCCCAGCGTTCGAAGTTGTGGGGAATGGAATTGCCAGCCTTGTTTGTAAGTGAAGACATTGACACGCATAAAAAAGATTGTAATTGTTTACAAGATTGGCGAATGCAATTCTAAGCTACAAGAGAGCGTGAAAAAAATGAAGAACGACGTCAGCAGGCATCGGCTGGACCCAGTCATTCGGTTCGTTGAGGTTAGATCTCGCCCACGTCGGTTCTCACTGGGGCTGAACTCGCGGGCAGACGAGCCGCGTCGACGTCCGTCTGCGGGTTTGGTAGTGGCGGGAGATCAGGCGAGAACGGCGCACAGTGAACAAGGTCGAACTCACCGGATTCCGAATGGCCGTCGGATAAACGACGCTGACACGGTTGGTACGAGCGTTCGCGACAGACTCGCCCGCAGACAAAGCGCGGCGTGCCTGAGTGAAAAGGTGCGTATGCGATGAACGTGAGTGTGTAACGCGTGAAGAACTCACCATGAGGTATTCCTGTCGCCTGATCCGAGCATCTTCATACGGGTGATACCGCGTCATCTTCCAGTGCAGGACGGTGAAGACGGTGGTGGGCGTTGAATAGATGGATGTAAAAGCGTGAGCTTCGTAGTTGTGTAAACGAGGACACATAGTTACGATGGTGTGGAAGTAAAGGTGAAGGAGCGAAGCGCGAAATGCGTGTAGTGACAAACACGTATATACAAGCCAGCGTCTTGACTGTTGCGTGGACTTCCCCCTCGCACCTCCTTCCCTATGGCTCGTCCCTTTGTTTATTGCGTAGGCCCTACACAGTTGCGCGAACGCTTGAGTGGAGACGTGTGTTAGTTGCGCGCGGTGAATGCTCCAAACAAAAAAAAAGAAGAGCTATCTGTTGTATCGGTTCAGCTGAGGTTCGAACTCAGAGCCTTCCGCACAGTGAAACAGACATCAGCACCATTACGCCACTGAACTGATAACTAACTCGGCCAGCAAACACATGTGACCACCGGAAAACGGCATCCACACGCCAAGAAGCAGGCAATTAAACGACGCGGCACTCTGCGCCAAGGTTACCGGTACCTGCACCGCCTTCAGACGAACACCGCATTGAGGTTTGTTGTTTAGCTCCGGTGAATCTTCGATGCAACGCAAAGCACGTGACCACGTACTACACCGCGACTGGGAACACCCTCGACCGACGCATCCTCATAGACAGCCATGGCTCCGCCTTTGCCATTGGTACCCACACCCTCCACCACTTCCTCCTCCCCTTTACCCTTGCTGCTCACAACGATCACCTGGAGAAAGGGCTTTCGTTGGAAAAAAGATTGAGATCGCTCAAAAGGAGCTCACCGTAACTGGGGTGATGGGGTCTTTCAATAAGAGGCTTGCAAAAATCAGCTTAGCGTCCAGATGGGGAATACCTTACGGCAGGAAACAGCACGACAAAAGCCTCCACGGCGTCCACGTCGGAGGATGGTGGGGAGAAGCTCCTTGTTTCATTGCGTCCACTATCACATGACTGTGACGAAATTGCAGCCAAAATGTTAATCAAATTAGACTGCAAACACCAATTTAAAAGTCTATAACATAACTGGAAAAAGACCTGCTGCCATAAGGGCTTCTGCATCGCATCGACCAGATTGGCCTGCCTCTTGTGCCTCCTTGACCGTGTTGAACCCGGTTTCTGATGACTGAAACATACTGGCCTGATTAAACCAGACGCAGCTACCCCGACCATGGGCATCAGTCCGATCATGAGCACCTGACCTGTTCCTGTAAAGGGATTCCCCTACTCCAGGGTGTGTAGGTTTTCGGACTGAGGCTGACAGCTTAAGCATTAGTCACAAATAGAACACCAGCGCCACATTACGCACCAATGATGTCAACGTTGTAGTGAAGGAATAAAGCGGAGGGAAATAGTAAAAAACATCCAGCAGGAATCTGGATTACAAAACCAAAATCCCAAATACAAAGCCAGCACCGCTCCTTGTCGTTGAACAAGCCTATTGAGCGATCAAATCAGCTAAAAACTTGGCTGAGATTTCTTACAAACACTTACCGTATATAAACAGAATGCACATCATTATTGCCACATTCTTGGCATCAGCATGCGGCTCACAGTCAACCAGATATACACCCTTGTTGGGTAGAGCAGCGTTGATGCAAAAATTCCAATAATTGCCGTACATGGGCTGGATCCCATACTTCTTCTTCACATAGTCTCGGTTGACTTTGCAGCGTGCAGCAATTCCTGGAAAATACGTCTCCAGCAAGGCATTTGCCATGCCACTGCAGATGTTAAATAAGACATCAGTGAAGCTGTCCCGACAAGTCAATCGCACTCACTTGTATCGCTTGAAGGTGCGCTTGCTCATGAGTTTATCAATGGCTCCTTCGTTGCTTTTGTGCCATCCAGTAAGCGCAGGCAACTAACAAGGCATCAATCTTGAATGAGTACCACCAATAGATGAGAGAGTAATACCCACCGTCTTGTTGTTCCTGTCATGGCCCATTACCGAAGAAAAATGCGGGCCACGAAGGTTGCTCATACGGGCTGCATCGGCCGTGGGCTTCTCACAGTCCGCAACAAAGGCTGCGTGGTCCTCGTTGATCTGCGGTATAAGCTGCTCCATCCAATCAGCGATCGATGACCGCACGATAACGAGCCGCCCAAGGGCATCCGTGATACATGTCGGCAGCTGCTTTGAATGGCTATCAAGGGGTTAGAGCAACCCAGGTGCAATCTTGAAAAAACCCACTCATCGTGAAAAGGAACCTTGTAGAGCTTCTGGGAGATGCTCGTAAGCTCCCCACTCCTCCATTTGTCCCGCAGATCACGAACGGCGGCGTATTGGCTTCGATCCAAGCCCTGCCAGCCGGTGGATGTTATTGGTAGGTCGTGGGCTTTGGACACGAAGAGCTTTGCAGCAGCGCAATCCACAGCGAGCTGCTGGGGATCAACGTCCCGCACCGTGCGCAGCTCCGTCGGCTTCTCTGCCGCCCTTTGTTGGCGCTTGGCTTTGCGCATCATTCGAGAGCGTGCAGCCTGGCGTGCGTGACCGGTGAGGCCTTGGGCATCCAGCAGCGTGAGAATGTCGGCCCTGATGCTTGATGAAGGAGGGCAGCTGCTGGTGCCAGCGGCTGCCAATTCTGCCAGTGTTGACGGGGCGCCGCTGGGTGCGCCGCACAGCGCAGCGCTCTGCGGGGAAATGGGAGGCGTGGGCGCCGGTGTGGCTGCACGCAACGCCGGTCAGAGGACGTCGGCTGGAGGGCGCGCGGGGCAACTGACCTTTTAACAGAGACGGCGCGGTCAACAGCGTGCTTGGTGCGCCACGCAGACTGCGCGATTTCGCCTGGTGAGGTGGTCTAGAAAAAGCGAAGGTCAGCAACAGAGCACTGGCCCACGGACCACCACTACCCGGACGCTTACGTTTTGGGCGCGTTTGCTGCCGCTTTCCGCGCATGCGAGGTCGCCTCCCGCCGGGCCCCACTTTGCCCGTATTGTGCCTGAATGCCTTCCAGATGGACAAAGTCGGGCTCATAGTCAACTTCTTCAGCGCCTGGCAGCGTGTCGACGATGAACGCGTCGTCTCGCGTGCGAGCGTATGAGTCTGCAAGGTCGGGTGCGGTGGGTGGTCGGAGGACCTGCGCGCATTGCTGGGGTTGAGGTGGCTCAACGTATGTTGGAAAGCTAAAGGACGCAGCGTGAAAATCCCACAGCGACAAAAGGCAGCAGTACGCACCAGAAGTCCAGCAACTGACCATCTCGTTGCGCGGCCTGCAGCCGCCCTCGGGTCAGGGGCCCTTCGTAGGAGAATGCCGGCGCTACATCGTCTCGCGCGGAGTCTTGCATGGCGAAGGGAGAGGGGTGCTGGCACTCCTGGGTGAGGCCTCAGAGCAGGCTGGAAGACCTATTACGAGGGGTCTCTGGGCTCACCCGAGTGGTAAGAGCGTGTAGTATGGATCCCTCGAAGTGACCTCCAATTTTAAGCACGCGGCGTTTAAATCGGCCTCTATACTGGTGCGACTTTGCGCGGCGTCTAAAGCAACTTCTATATTTGTGTGACTTCGCACGGCTTCTATATCGATGCGGCAGAGCGTGTTGCCAGAGTGCGAGGGTCGGGAAGCCAGAAAAGAACTGTGAATACGAAAAAATCTGAGTGAAAGCTGGAAAGACGCACCTGTGGAAGAATATGTGCCCGAGATTTCGCAACATTCCTCTGTGGTCCATGCGTCCGGACGCCACTCGAAGCCATTGCAAAGAGAAATCGACGCGACTCAGACGACGCTTGCTCTACAACAAGGGTCGACGATCGACGGCCGAGTCCCAGCGACCTGAAGGTCAAGCCGAGCAGGAGAAAAGACGTCGCGCTCGACCGTCCCCCCATTCTACAACACGGGGACGGGTGCACAGACGCCATGATCCTGGACTGCAACTGGCCTACACCAGTCGCTATCCAGGACGCAGAAGAAAGGAAAAGAAAATAAATAAAACAGAAGAAAAGCTTACCGAAATAAGAAACGAGCCCGAGAGGAGAGGCGAGGAGCAAAACAGATAAATCGGCCAGCGAGGGAGGTGTGTATGGTCAAAAGTTACTTAGTCCCAGTCGTTCGCAAACGATGGCAATCGCCGTTGATCGGCGATCAACGGTAATCGAGACGCCGATCATGTGCGATTGCACATCGATTGCGAGCGCCTAAGTCTGAGTCTAAATCCTTCTTACTCTTACTCTTGACCACACACACTTCCCTCGCTCGCCGATTTATTTCTTTTGCTCCTCGCCTCTCCTCTCGGGCTCGTTTCTAATCTCGGTAAGCTTTTCTTCTGTTTTTTTTTTTCTTCTTCTGCGTCCTGGATAGCGACTGGTGTAGGCTAGTTGCAGTCCAGGATCATGGCGTCTGTGCACCCATCCCCGTGTTGTAGAATGGGGGGACGGTCGAGCGCGACGTCTTTTCTCCTGCTCGGCTTGACCTTCGGGTCGCTGGGACTCGGCCGTCGATCGTCGACCCTTGTTGTAGAGCAAGCGTCGTCGTGAGTCGCGTCGATTTGTTTATTGCAGCCAAAGGCGCTTGTCGGCGTGAGGGACGTGCTGGAGTCGAGTCAATTGGGGGAGCACGCTATGCCTGGGGCCACTGTTCAATGGGTGAGTATCTGATCGCCGTCCATTTTCCTTCAAGATCTGTGTAGCAAGTACCTAAACGTTGTGAACATGTCTGCGGTGCGTCACGCGTCGCCTTTTTCTCTAATTGCCAGTAACAGCATTCGCTGCAGTCTTCAAGCTACTCCATCATCCCCATCATCTCGCGCGTCCCCAGTCCTAACGGACAGCCCGTACCAACGTTCCACCGGCACCACGCTGCACGCCGTCAAGGCCAATTGTTAGGGGACGACATGCTTGTTTGGCACCGTATGGACGTCCAAGTGCGTTGGGAGGATCTCCATCGCAACGACCCCGTCCCAGGAGGAGCGTCCGGTTCTCTAGCCCGGGATTCACACTATTGGGTCGTCTCCTCGCCGAACGTGGACTTTATCCCGGAGCCATTGCTAGGAAAACGCTTTGTCATGGCCCGTCTAGACGGACGTTTTGCTGCCGACGACCGCACGCAATGGCCGCAATTCTTCGTCGAAGGAGTTGAGTGGATGGCTACCATGCCGCGTCCTCAGCGAGACCAGCGTGCACCCGGATATTGGCTACACCACACCCTCCGACTCCAGGATACGGACGTTGTCGACGCAGGCGTAGTTCCCATCGAGCTACGTAAAGTCAAATACACGGTTTTTAGAAACTTATTGCAGCACCATGACGTTATCATGAAGACCGTCCGTAAATATGTAAAGCTGTACCTCAATAATCCTGTGACCGGTCACCCCCATCGAGTTCTGGCTTCTTTCGTTACGTCTGCTTGCAATGTTCGTGCGCGCCTTGAATCCGTAGCCATGCCTTGGAAGGATTTGGTGCTGGTGTGGG